TTAAGTATTCCTGTTTCTTTCAAACGTACCCTTAAATAAAAATAGTCCGCGAATTCAATAAAACTCTCGATAATAACATCGAACGAATGGATTGTTGCCGTAGTCATGCACCGTGAAAATGATGCAAATCACGTATTAGTTTCAACAACTACGGCATTGCACAACGCTTAAGACCATGTACAGTAATTTACATTCGCCTTTGTCTTTGAGGATTAATGCTATTGTTAATGACCATATTGCCGTTGCGGTTGCCCTTGTATTTGCCAAACTCTCTATTATATTTTGCCAACGGAAATTTTAACGGAATCGATAGTCATTCGATATTTCATCCCCTGAAACTCAGCACACGCAGCATTCGTGACCTGGCGAAGCAGAAACGTTCATTTCCTACTAGCCATTATGTTCATTTCCAAATGTTCATTTCCTACTAGCCATTATGATTATGTGCAAAGACATCAATCAATGATTCTTTTATTCATTTGAGCTGTTGGAATAATATTGCAATATACAATACGTTGCGAGCGACATTTGATGTATGCGTTGGCGTATAATTAACCCAAGAAAATTCAAAATGGCCGACATATATATATATTCGAAGGTCAAACTTTTCTGGATCCAGTATATATATATATATGCATATATATATATATATATATGTTAGTTGTGTAATTGTACACTCTGTAATATGTTAAGATGAAAATGTTCTGGAGTGTGTATTATATAATTTCCATACCCAGCGCAAGCAGAAAGATGTTGTCTATATATATATATATATATATATATATATATATATATATATATATATATATATATATATATATATATATATATATATATATATATATATATATATATATATATATATATATATATATATATATATATATACGATTTCAAATACTTCTAGTTTTAAAATCAATTGGGTTTTTTTTGGTGTGGGGCCAAAATTATCCCCCCTTATAAAACACTGGGTTTGGGTGCCTGTTTCCTCGTGCTTACTACGCCCCCTGCGGTCGATCACTAACTTGTTTAGTCGAGCTTTCCAACAACTCAAATCTATAGGGTCTGGGAAATGCAATCCAATGGAAAATGTTTAAAATCTAATAAGGTATTTACAACACAATGTTTAGCATTAAAGTTAAAAGACAGGACATAAGATTCACAAAGCAAATTTCAGTTACTAGAATATCAAACCTCCCTTCTAAATTCCATGTTTTGGTTATATTTTGGAGAAAAGGGACTTTGACTGGGAAGGGGGCAAAATGGTTGAGTGGGGGGGGGCACCATGGGGGCGGGGGGCTTTGGCCCCCCCAGTTATATAGTTAAAAAATGCCCTGGTTATAAACCTCGGACGATCAAATAAAATCGACACAAATGAGATATAAGACGAATTGTAAACACTTTCCAGATCATCTAGTCTATTCGTCCCGAAAAATGGCCGCCATGCAACAGGAGTTTGAGCCCGCAAATTCCTGGTGTGACACTAATCCTTTAACGTCCTTGTAATTTTATAGAGATAGAGCCAGAACTGAAGATTTTAGTAAATTTATCTGTACCTTCCCAAAGTTGTAGACAAGATATGTTGTTTACGTCCAACACGCATAGTATTACCTAACTCAAAATGATTCAAGCAAAACCGGTCTTTTGTTAAAAGTAAGACTGATTAATAGAAACGGGTCCTTTTGAGTGACATAATCGTTTGTCGTCATCGATCCGTGTCGCTGAACAATAAAAATGTTGTTGTGAAATTAGTGAAGATAAAATTGCAGTTTGTGAGAAAACTGCAGGTCTGTAGAGCGGGAACTTTTCGGATTTGAACTCAGCGTGTTCGAAAGTTCCAAGATATGGGGAATGAAAATCGTTTTCTAGGCACTTTTCGAGGTCACAGTAAACGGCCTATGAGCAATTTGGCATAAACAAACTTGGGAAATGATCATAAACTCATAAAGGCACATAACTTAAACTAGAACACATGATTCAAACTCAAACAACATTTTAGAGTAAGAAAATCTTTATTAGTTGTATTACACAACTTACATAGTTACGTTTCACTGCATCCCGCTAAGATTATTTCTTAAAACTGTTTCCATGCAGGTATTTTCCACCAGCTCTTTTTGCCATACTATGTTTGTTAAACTCACTCTTGCTTCAAAATTTAGTTAAATTCGTCCACGTTTGTTATTATTTCAAGAAACATTTCGCCGCCATATTGGATTTTTGTTGTTTTGATCAGGGGCGAAGCTACACCGATAATTGGGGGTGTAATTCATATATTCGTGTTCTGCCCGACGGATTTGTTTTGAAAGCGATTGTTTTTACGGTATGTGAACATGAATATTTGAATAGTTCCCCCAATTATCATGTTTAGCTGCGCCCCTGGATTTCCCGCTCCCCCAGCCACTCCTGGAGAGTGCAATTAATGATGGTAATAGAACGAATAGGAGTGCTATTAATGCCATAATCATACGAGTGATTACAAAATCAACCGACCGCGTAGCGGGAGGTTGATTTGTTAATCACGAGTATGATTATGGCATTAATAGTACGACTTAATTCGTTCTATTACTTATTAATTATTTATCTTCTGTAATCAAACTGTGGAAAAAAGCACAAAAATACAATTTGTTGAAATTCAATATAAATTATTAAATTTTTGTCACGACAATTCGTAGTGAAATAGTACAATTTTGAATGAAATTTATCATAATCAAATTAACTATTATTAACTTCCGGGTATTATTTCCGGTATAATCACATGACAACATTCGGCAATGCCGACCTATTTATAAATGCCGACCTATCAACGTCCCAGGTCGGCAATGTTTTGCCTACCTTAATTCAGCCAAAGTAAGAAACTTTTTTGGTGCTGATAGCTGTTAAAAAGTCAGCGATTATAGAATTCGATACACTTTGGTGTAAGGTTTAAGAATTAACGGGTATTATGATATAATTTAGGTAAAACTCTAAAAGAAAAGCCTTCGTGACAATTATACTTTTCAATGATTCGTAAATACGTGATTACTAGTGCAGGCTACTAGTGCTCCAAAACATGGAAACAGATTTTAAAAAATGCCGAGATGTGCCGAGCTAGGTCAGATTTAGGTCGGCATATTTTTTCCGACCTCCATCTTGCCGGTTTTCGAGGGCTGATTTAAAAATTAAAAGGTCAAAATTTTCAAAATTTGTGAATTCCTCCATTTTGAAATTTTTTACAGCAACAAAGAAAATAAAATTCAAAGTTTGTATCCTGAATGCTGATTGGCTAGTTGTAAATACTAGACTGATTTTCATTGGTTGTAGACAAGAGTGCGATTACAGCTCAGAAAAGGTGCGATTAATGCTCAAATCGCACTCCTGTAAACCAATGGAATTGCAGTATTTGCCACTGATTACATAAGATAAATAATTAATGATGGTAATGGAACGAATAGGAGTGCTATTAATGCCATAATCATACGAGTAATTACAAAATCAACCGACCGCGTAGCGGGAGGTTGATTTGTTAATCACGAGTATGATTATGGCATTAATAGTACGACTTAATTCGTTCTATTACTTATTAATTATTTATCTTCTGTAATCAAACTGTTTAAGGGGGAAAAGCAGAAAAATACAATTTGTTGAAATTCAATATAATTTTTGAATTTTTGTCACGAAAATTCTTAGTGAAATAGTACAATTTTGAATTATTATTTATCATATATAATCAAATTAACATATTATTAACTTCCGGGCATTATTTCCGGTATAATCACATGACAACATTTGTTTGAATTATTCAACACACAATTGGGAAGCCATGTTTGTATGTTTATAACGTGTGAAAAATAGTGAAGTTCTTTAGTTCAATTAATCATCTGAATTGGATTGAAATATAACTCCTGGTTGTGTCTAGTTTGGTGTCTTCTGCTGGATGAACAGGTAGGTAATTTTCGTCAGAAAATATATAATTTAACAACCCTCGAAAACGAGATCGGCATTCGGCAATGCCGACCTACAGTATTAAAATGCCGACCTATCAACCTCCCATGTCGGCAATGTTTTGCCGACCTTAATTCAGCCTTTTGGTGCTTACAGCTGTTAAAAAGTCAGCGATTATAGAATTCGATGCACTTTGGTGTAAGGTTTAAGAATTAACGGGTATATTTATGATATAATTTAGGTAAAACTCTAAAAGAAAAGGCTTCGTGACATTTATACTTTTCAATGATTCGTAAATACGTGATTACTAGTGCAGGCTATTAGTGCTCCAAGACATGGAAACAGATTTTAAAAAATGCCGAGATAGGTCAGATTTAGGTCGGCATTTTTTTTCCGACCCCAATTTTGAGGGTTTTCGAGGGCTGATTTAAAAATTAAAAGGGCAAAATTTGTGAATTCCTCCATTTTGAATTTTTTTACAGCAATAGAGAAAATAAAATTCAAAGTTTGTATCCTGAGTGATGATTGGCTAGTGTAAATACTAGACTGATTTTCATTGGCTGTAGACAAGAGTGCGATTACAGCTCAGAAAAGGTGCGATTAATGCTCAAATCGCACTCCTGTAAACCAATGAAATTGCAGTATTTGCCACTGATTACAGAAGATAAATAATTAATGAAATAATTGCACTCCTCTTAACCAATCAGATTGCAGTAATTTTGTCATGTATATAATAAATACCGAAACAACAGCGAAAAAAACATATTCATTGAGAATATAAATTGTTCAGAAAAGTTTGCAACGAAAGACAAATTAATTTGCAGTCAACAAGCACTTACTATACTACCAAGCATCTGTATAATATATCTTAGCTTTTTTGTGAGATATACCGGTTCTAAAACCATTTCTTTCACTTCGTCTTCGAGTGGTAAAACAAAAGTATTTCATACATGTTCAAGGCCAAGCGGTTTTTGGCCGAACAAATTGTCGAGACATTGTAACAGAGGATAATTAATTATTGCTAATTAATTATTGCAATTAGACTATATTATAAAACAATTATACCATTCGCTCTCGTCGTATATGGCTGATAGCCGACTCGGTGCTACGCACCTCGTCGGCTATCAGCTCATATACGACTCGAGCTCATGGTATAATTGTTAAATATAGTGCAAGTTGATAATTATGACTGGTTGCATGCAACTGTCACTATAAGTATTGATATACCAATCTGAAGCAGAATCTCTGCACTTTATGCAGCCACTATTTCCTTGGCTTTGCTTTAATGAAATAAATTAATCAATGCACATACTGCTTTAAGAGAAATGTTTCCAATATGAGTGACTTAGCTTCTAACTCTGCTAAATTTCTATAAAAATGATCTGTCAAACTCTGCTTGTCTGTAATGAAAGCAGACACGAATTGTCTATAATTATGATCACTGATAAAGAAATTATTTAAAGGCCTTCTATTGAGTTTCATTCATCTAATTTATATTAATTAAAGTCACCAATGAAAATGTTAAATTGAGAAGTACATAAACATCAACACTGACAACTCGATATACACCAACAATGGTAACATGTCGAAGAATCGTTACTTTCATAGTTTCATTAAATAGTTAAGTATTCTCAATGCCAATGCCATTAGTGAATAATTTTCTTGTCAAAAATTGCGAATCATAATATGCTGATCTGGATACTAAACACCTGCGCACACTGCCTGCGAAATTTACTTTCCATAGTGAATATAGAAATATTAAACGGCAGAAAGTTAAATTATTTCACACATTATTAAATTTTTCAATGATCTCTAGATTTGAGCTTTTCAGTAAACTCCATAGCAGCTCATGCATGAGATAAATAATACTAAGCATGCGAGCGTGAGAAATGATGCTCAGGCGTGTGTCACACGCATATAACTCGTGAGACTTTGTAAGGTAAGTTAAATTTCTGTTTTTAGTCGCTGTTGTATGCGAAGGAGAGAACTGTACTACCTTAATCATATAGTTATTTGTAATTTTCGGTCAGTTTGGATCGTACTTGTGTATCTCACATACTGCAGTTGTCAGTCGCCATTTTGAAAAAATATTGCAAAATTTCTGAAAAACAATACGTCAAAATGCTGTTTATTGGTCGTATTAGAACATTTACAAGTCTGTAGTAGAATAGAATAGAATATAAACTTTATTTCACGAGGGAAAACGTATTAACCATAATTAATTAAGGTGAATTAAATTTCAAATTTCGCGCGCCCTGTGTTAATTAGAGAGAATGGCCTGACTTGACTGCTCGCCATAGCCAACGAGGCCCAGTTGTTTAATTGTTTTAGTTTAATAAACGATTTGAAATATTTAAATAACATTTAAAACCACGCACTTCGCTTGCGGCTTATTTGTTTACTTTTTCCGAAAAATCCGACGAAAAGGTTTTTTTAATGAAATTTAATGAGCTTTGAAAATATTTTAAAACAGGCAAATAACAGTGATGATATTAATTAAGGAAAACGCAAGCGAAGTACTTTTGATAATTCATTTTTAAGAAAACGAAACAAGACTTAAAACTCCACAACTAATTAAGATGTTTTCACACTGTAAACAATATGGTTTCCCGAAATGTTCCAGTAGTTTACGTTGAAAAGAAAAATGAAACAGTGCACGCAAAGCAATCCTAATGTCTTTGAAATCGATGAAATACATGACAAAATAACTTTAAAAAACTATGATATCACCTGAAAGGCATAGATAAAACTTAACAATATCTAAAATGTTGTCGAAAAAGACCACAAAAAGCACACAAAATTAAAAGACCATTTAGAGGGGGAAAGCCTTACAATATTACTTCAATCAACACGAAATCACATTTTAGACAAAGAAATACTTAAAAGACGAGGAAAATATATGATTAAGTCAAGTAAATACAAGCAGAGACGATATGAACGGATGATGCGCTCAGCATTTCCGCCGTCCTTCGTGTCACTTTTTTTGGCAAGTAATAGCAGATATCCTATTAAAATACGAATGAAAATTTGCTCCCTACTATCAAAACGTCTTCGGATCATATTTTGTATACTTTTTTGTTCTTAGGGCAAAGGATTTTTTACCAAATTCTCTCAAAACCTTTGCAAAACAAAAGTTTTCCGCCATCTTTTTTTTTCAACCATGGACCCTTACGTATTGGTATAAAACACACTAGCTGTCTATTACAAATTCGGCGTCCTGATTGGCTGTGTATATGACGATCAGTCGATTTTCACGAGACAAATTGTTGATCGACAATGGTTGCGACTTTAATTTATATGCACACCTGATGGTGGAGCCACAAGACTGGATTGCCGAAATGTTGGAATATAATTCGACCAGGGATCCCTTTCCTCTACCCGCCATTCACCAGCTAGAACCGAGTCAATCTTCGCGCACGGTATATCATATTAATGAAGCAATAATGGGGAGTCAGTGCTAATCATTCTTACTTACAGCTGAGAGCTATTCTAATTGCGATCGAATAACTTAAAAGCTGATTTTCGAAGAACGTGCCTTTGACAAGCCACATTTTGATTTGATTTTTACGTTTGTAGAAAATGGACACGAAACGCAGCAAACATCATCACCAAGAAGGTTTGTTTAACTTGGCTCTGCGGTAATACGACTTGCACGTTCCAAAGACCGAGGGGCATTTTACTCGCAATGAAAACAAAATTAAATACTTTACTTGTAGTTACATGACTGAATCACCTTAACTTACTTATTTAAATATTGGGTCGTTATTGTCGCTTATTTTGTTGCAGGAGCTTTAGTTTTGTAAACTTTGTCTTTTTTAATGTTTCTTATTAATAGATCTTATAGTTCCTGAGCAAGCCTGCCTGAATGACGCCATTGATGACGACGACATTCGGCGATTGTGGTCTTATAATAGTACAGCTGGGGGTAGATACGTTTACATGACAAATAACACTGCGCGAGGAGGTAATCCATAGGTCTCTCGAAAAGGTCTTTTATTTACAAAAAAATCCATAAAATTTGCCTTAAAATGCAATGCTTTCACATGCAATGCTTCAATGTACAGTAAAACCTCTATAATTTGTATTACATGAAGTACGTGTAACATCACAATAGCGTTGTGTCACTATGTAATATATATCCCCAAGGTTGGCAAGTAAATACAAATTTAACACTGTATACACAAACTTAATGACGAAAAAATTCGTACATAAACGTCGAAATTCACTTAAAAAACTAAGTCACTATGGTAAGAAATAACTTTAATTCTTCTACATTGTGTTTTTTTGTTCTCTCATCGCTTTAAAACGAGTTAATTTTGCGAATATTCCGAGGAAAATGGCTCAATTTGGTCAAAACTATGCGGGATGACTGCTCCCGGCGTTACGTCACAAAATAAAGCTCTCTGATTTGCTGAAAATGTATAAAATTTCAAAAAAACTCTCCGATTGGCTGGCTGAAATTTCCCAGCGAATCAGAGAGCTTTATTTTGAGAAGTAACGCCGGGAGCCATCATCCCGCATAGTTTTGATCAAATTGAGTTACGAATTTGATGAATTTTCCTCGGAATTTTCGCAAGATTAACTCGTTTTAAAGTGATGAGAGAACAAAAAAAAACAATGTTGAAGAATTACAGTTATTTCTTACCATAGTGAGCTAGTTTTTTATGTGAATTTCGATGTTTATGTACGAATTTTTTCGTCATTAAGTTTGTGTATACAGTTGTATTTACTTGCCAACCTTTGGGATATATATTACATAATGACAGAACGCTATTGTGATGTTACACGTACTTCATGTAATACAAATTATAGAGGTTTTACTGTACATTGAAGCATTGCATGTCAAAGCATTGCATTTTAGGGCAAATTGTATGGATTTTTCTTAAAATAAAAGACCTTTTCGGGAGACCTATGGGTAAACTTATGAATTTAACAATATTCTACACTCGTGTTTCAAATATAAATGACCAAAACCTTTCATTGCTTTCCTCTCACAAATCAATTATCTATTTCTTGAGGGTCTTTATGATAAGTCTTTGGGTCCTGTTGTTCTGGTTACAGGGAGTGGTATATGAAGGCGTGTACATGTTACGTTGGCTGCATGTAACATACTGGGTTTAATTAATTATCATTCTTCATCTATAGATTGTTCTGGGTACGTTGTGGAGGCAACAGGCGAAGCTCAAGGAAAAACTATGCGTAAGACAGTAAATATTGTATGCTTTATCACAATCATGATTAAGATACTATTCTTTCAAACATCACGCATCGAGTACCAACATTGGTAAATTTATTGCGTCTTTCTAGCTAAGGGCCATTCCATACATTTCCCCAATTCGCTTCCTACATGGTAAGAAACACTAGCAATCATTAATGCTCAACCTAGACAAATTCACATAATATAATCCCTATCATAATACGCTGGAACATCCCCGCTAACATTTAATTTTGCGCGGTTGGCTGGGGGAAAATGTTATTTAATTTAAACACGCCCGAATTTATCAATATGATAAATTCGCGGCACATTTTGAAATTATCGATAGAATAAATTATAAAACCACAAGCATTAGGCAAGAGTTTTTGTTATAAATGTAATCGCACTAAAAGGGAGGCTGGTCGCGCAGGGTTTGGAAGATCTCCAGAAAAAGTTTAAAAAGCTAGATTTGCCAGATTAGGGTTAGGGGGTAGTTAGATTGGGGTAAGGTGTTAGTGTTAGGGGTTATATATGTGCCGCGAATTTAATTTATATTGATAAATTCGGACGTGTTTAACAATTTACTCATATAGTGAATTCAAAGGTGGAGCTCATGCTGCAATGGTGAACTTTCTGAAGACATACTGGGCGAGATAGTGAAAAACATTATTCAAAAACCCGCAAAATCGTAGATAAGACAAACAGCCGAAAAACAGTTTATTTGTCTTTGTTTCATAACAAAACATCAGGGGCAATAGACGGTAGGAAACTTGCTTTAAAACTGATGTTTCATATCTAGAAAAAAAAACTTTCCAGAGAAAAGTAAAAGCATTACACACTAGCTGATTTTTTAAATAATATGTAAATTATCAGAGAAGCTTATAACGCAAAGCAATATATCAAGGATATTTCAAGGACGACTTTCGACTGACTAGTCCACTGTGTTGTGGACAGTGTTTCTGTTTTGACGCCTTCTGTTGGGCACGTTGTTCTGACAAGGTTTAAATCGGTATAAACTCGATAATACCTTCATATGTTGTGAATAAATATCATTATCGAAAGCCATGCCTCTGTTTCCAGGATTGTTCAGTACTTGGAGCTGCGAATCTGTAACTGACTGTTCATGGTCGAAAGTCATACCGAGTCATGCTAAGTGCCAGAGTTGACTCATAGCTATAGTGACATGCCTAACTTTGTACCGATGCGGTAAATGGGTTTCTCTACAAGCTGCAAGAAGCTACCAACCAAAATAGTAGGTTTGCGAAAATGTCATTATGTTCTATCATGCCAGATTTTTAAAAATCTACCTCGCCTATATTAGCGAAATCTTATTTAATTCAGTTTTGAAAGCAATTATAAAGCAAACAACGCATCAAGTTTTAGAACACACGTAACTTCATTAACGTCGGCGTCTCTGCTCCCTTCTTTTAACAAGCTTCTCGGCTGTTTTTCTCAAAAAACTTTTCAAATATACAAAATCTTGCAAACATGAAAAAAACAATTGCAAGAAATGTTTGTTATTTTTCTGTCGTCATGCAGTCGTTACGATGCAAAGTTTAAATTAATAGCCCTACTAGTGTGTGCTATTCATGACATTTAGTTTTTGAAAGTTAGTAAAACTGCCAATGATTTCGAATTTTAAAAGATATGCAGAGCAAATAACTCAAAATGGTATAACGCATCTAAATATTTGGAAAATTTAAGAGTAGGATCAAAGTCTTCGTCAGTAAAAATCGCAATATCGCATCGCGTTGTCGGATCGCGTCCGGTATGTCTGGACCTTTAGATCCAAAATTGTATATAATCTTCCGCTCGAAATCTTCATCTAGAAAAGCCTTCTTAACGGCTTTTCCTCCATGAATGACTGTTATCATTGTCAATTAATTGGCTGCTACAAAAGGGAAGATGGAATGTTGGAATGTGGAGTTTCGTTGGCGAGGGTTGGATCGACGAGGTTGTAGTCATAAGATCGTCAACGAAGGAGACTAGTAAAAGTAGCGAAAAATATCTTAGGGAAATATTCGTTAATGGGAATTCTACCATAATGCAAAAATAAAAATCTGGTATAGATAGCAATAATCATCATGCAGTTGATGCAGCTTGATGCGCCGTAATCTTCAGTAGCTCGTCAACATTTCATCTAACCTGCACAAAGTGATACAGTAATTACTGAAACATCGAATGCTGTTTTTCAAAACCTTCTCAAACCTAATCTCAAAAAAGCTCATGGTCCGGATGGCATACCGTCCTTGCTCCTAAAAGAAAACTCAGATCTATTAGCTGGCCCGATAGCGGCCATTTTGAACTGTTCATATCGGGAATGTACCCTACCACCAGTTTGGAAGAAGGCGGACGTAGTTCCAATACCGAAAGAAAAGCCTATCCAGGATGTCAATCGTCAGTTACGTCCTATTTCACTTACACCTATTCTATCGAAACTCGCAGAAGAATTTGTTGTAATGATTTATGTGAAGCCAGCAGTGACGGAATTGATCGATAGTAAACAATTTGGAACGGTGCCGGATAGTTGTACGACATATGCTCTTGTAAGCATGCTACACAATTGGAATAAAGATATGGATGGTAACCGTTCAACAACTGGAGTTATGACGTTTGCTTTCCGTAAAGCGTTTAACTTAATAGACCATAATATTTTATCGGAGAAGTTAACAAAGTATAACATACCGAGGTCTGTCATGCTTTGGATCTTAGACTTTCTGACTGACCGAGAACAGAGTGTAAAACCCAGCCAAGATTGCCATTCCGAATGGGGCAAGATCCCAGCCGGCGTCCCTCAAGGCACAAAGCTCGGCCCGCGGTTATTTTGTATTATGACTAATGATCTAAGTGTTAAGGACGCTAACGATTCATGGAAATATGATGACGACTCATCCTTGTCGGAATCAGTTCGTAGCGATGGCTCAAGTAACTTACAAAAGTACGTAGATGTATTCAACCAGAAATCAACAGCTGGTGGCTTTCAGATTAGCGAATCAAAATGCAAAGAATTTTGTATAACCTTTGCACCATCCACAAGTGAGTTCCAGCCAATTACTATTAATGCGAAAATTGTCGAACGTGTAACATCGGTAAAATTGCTGGGTCTAACCATCTCAAATAACCAGAAGTGCAATAGTCATATTTCACACGTTTGTAAAAATTTCGCTCTTCGTCTATATCTTTAAAGACAATTTAAACGAGCGAAATTACCAGCTAACGACTTAATCCTTTTCTACTCCCCCTGTATTCGACCAGTCATCGAGTATGCGTGCCAAGCATTTCACGACTCTTTACCCAAATATCTGTTTGATGATCTTGCATGAAAGACTTCAGAAACCAGCTTTTCGAATAATATTCCTAGAACAATACTACAAAGAAGCATTGAGGAACACGAACATCCCATCACTTTATGATAGAAGACAGGAATTAACAACAAAACTTTTTAAGGACATAGTCAGTAACCCTGAACACAAATTAAGGGATTTGTTACAGCCATGAAATAAAGACAATAGCCACTTTTTGCGTAAAATAGGAAATTTAACGTGCCACTTCATAAAACGAACAGATTTAGGAACAGTTTTATCACTTATAACTCTAATAAGTTTTCAGAATAACTTAGTAACTGTTTTACATTGAATATGCTGGGTTTTTAAATTAACCTAATTTAAATTATAGCACTACAGAGTGTTTTAGTAACAAATTATAAGTCTGCGCATATGTGTATGTGAATGTGTATTTTCAAGAAATTTTAGTCTAATCTTATTCATTTTCTTAAACAAATACTTGTAAAAATTAGTTTGTCTTTCTTAATATCTTTGTTAATGAAGTTTAATATGTTGAAATAACTGGCATCCAAACCGCAGTTTGGAAAAACCCCAAGAAACCAGAAAACAAAAACACACAGCAAACAGATTTTTGTGGCATATATTATGGGCAAGGAAGTGCTCGAACGGTCTAGAGGCTCTCGCTAACCTACGTTTTACCTAGAGGAACAGGCGGACCTCTAGATTGCAGAGGGAGTGACGCGGCTCTGTGCATGTTGTTCAGCGACATATGAGTCCTGATGGTCTGGGGACCACCACTGGTATACTGAGACAGTATGGGTACTCAAGACCTGACAGAGCATGCAAAAACTGTAGGTTTTTCATAGAGGAAAAGGTGAACCTCTAGATAACAGGGGAACAGGCGAACCCCCGTTCAGGTCAGTCAGCTCGTTGATGTTGAGTACTAGTTGAACTGGTGAACAACTGATGGTAACTCAACTGAAATGACTTACCCATCGAGTCTCTAGGTCAGGTCATTAGGTCGCACTGCGACCTGAATGACCTGTAAAAATACACTTCACGTGGCGAAGTGTTGTCCAAAAGGACGGCACTTCCCTGCCATTATTTATTTATTTCATTCTGCAATTCTGGTACAGATGTATAAGTTATATATTTACATAAATAATTAAGCAATTAGGCTGAATTGGATTGTATAGATCGAAAGCATGTCGATCTATAGATTGTATAAGCAGGCAGGTTCGGCTCTGGGGTGGTGGGTGGGTTTTTTTGTATACCAGGTTTTGGTAGCTTACGCTCTGGTTAGAATATTGCGAATGAGGCGTGAAGCATATAGCCTGTAACTAAATGTCTTTCACTAAGAATGGGGCCATTGTATTGTTGCGACGGATATATGTAAGAAGAGTTGATTGATTAAACCCAAGTGCATGACGTGTTCACGTGCTGTTGCCAAGGTTCAATCTCCTTTGGCAGCATGATTAGAAAGTAATGCCTTGTTTTCCAAGTGCAGTAGTTTTGATGACAGATTGGCATTTCCATAAGGCAAATAGAGTCTTCTTTGACATATTACTTCATTAACCACAATTTATTGCGTTGCATAAATTGCATATTTAATGAAGTTTAATATGTTGAAATAACTGGCATCCAAACCGCAGTTTGAAAAAAACCCAAGAAACCAGAAAACAAAAGCACACAGCAGACAGGTTTTTGTGGCATATATTATGGGCAAGGAAGTGCTCGAACGGTCTAGAGGCTCTCGCTAACCTACGTTTTACCTAGAGGAACAGGCGGACCTCTAGATTGCAGAGGGAGTGACGCGGCTCTGTGCATGTTGTTCAGCGACATATGAGTCCTGATGGTCTGGGGACCACCGTTGGTATACTGAGACAGTATGGGTACTCAAGACCTGACAGAGCATGCAAAAACTGTAGGTTTTTCATAGAGGAACAGGTGAACCTCTAGATAACAGGGGAACAGGCGAACCCCCGTTCAGGTCAGTCAGCTCGTTGATGTTGAGTACTAGTTGAACTGGTGAACAACTGATGGTAACTCAACTGAAATGACTTACCCATCGAGTCTCTAGGTCAGGTCATTAGGTCGCACTGAAAAATACACTTCACGTGGCGAAGTGTTGTCCAAAAGGACAGCACTTCCCTACCATTAATTGACGATCTGTGCGAAGTACAGATTGTTATTTCAGCCACGGGAAGCCGAGTCGAATTATGCATATTTATTAATATGCAGAGCAGAGGAGCGTTCGCCTATGAGCAGTAAATGATGGAGGAGCAACTGGATAAAAGAGAGGGAGGGTCTGGAAACAATAGGGAGTAGTAAGTAAACTGTGTAAAAAAATTTTGGGTTTCGGAGCCCATTAGTTTGTTAGCACACTACAGGGTGTGTTTGGGCTTGTCGAGTGCTACTGGCTCTCTTGCGGAAAAACTGGTCGAGTTTTCAATGTGTTCTGGCACATTTGTGCTGTGTTTAAATAGTGTATAGGCCGAAAAATATAGAAAAGTAAAGTAAAGAAACAGGAAACGACCCTCGTATGTAATGGTGGTTTGTACCCCGTTTCAACGATAGCTGTCCATCCTTTAATACTCCGCGCGCACAAATAACATAACCCGTCTACGGACGAGGATGACGAGGTGAAAAGGCCTGAGGTGTACTAGAGAATGCTGTTCACTGGATGCTGACACTTATGCTAAGGCTGGATAATCAGGGAGGCCAGGAAAAAACCTACAGTACAGGAAAACCTGGGTAGGGCCAAGAACACCAGCAGCTCCCCACATAGCTCTATTTTTACAAGTTTAAGAAGAATCAGCATCATGGTAAACAACACCATACCTAAGACTGCAAAATATAAAGAGTCGGGGCAAGGGTTATATTAGTAGTAGTGTTTATACCCTCTGCAGGTTTTCAAATTGGCTTGCATTTTGAACTAGCTGTTGTTAGTTTAGACAGAGGCTTTTTCTTGAGCCAGTATAAATTGTTTATAACCATTTTTCCTGCAAGTATCCAAGTTAGGTTATATTTTGAATTCGCCATTGTTTAAACTGGATTATACGGAGCTTCTGAGCGTTATATATAAAACTAGTTAAACCTCAGTATAAACCTCGTCCTCGCAATTTATGCAGGAACATTTACAATACATATAGATAGTTCATACGGTAGAATGTTTTAGAGTTCCTATGCAAGCTGAAAAACGGTGAGGCAGCAATCCAGGGTTAAACGTCGGTACAGATAGCACTTGTGAACATCACCAGAACACATCCAAGTTTGTTCTTCGCCTTAAAAACAAAATGAAAGACGCAAGAGAAAAACGGGTGCTCTACAGTGAGAATTTTGTGGAACTAGGTGGTTAATTTATAGGTAAAGAGATAACTGAATATGAGATACAGGTAGACGCCATGTGTACAATATGTGTATTGTACTGGAACGTGTAGTATATTGCGTAAGGTAAACTATTGCGCAAATTCGTTATATGACACGCAATAAGTGCGGGATTTTCCCAGGCAAGAGATTAATTAATGGAAAATAACTTTAATTAATCTTATTAAATAGCTCGTGATGTGATGCAGTTTTTCGAGTTATCCTAAGTAAATACTGCTAGCCATAATGTGTACGCTTGGGTAAATTAACGAAAGATAAAATGAAGCCCCGTGTGCAAGCCACTGTATGTACAGTTAGTGGAACAAAATAGACATCTGCACAAAGAAAACATTTAATTAACGTGCTACAGCTGCTACAGTATAACTTCTTTAGTTGGGATTTCTTCGAGGTCAATTTAAGTATATCATGAACATCTCATTTAACTAGGACAAACCGTACGTCCTTATAACTAGGATAAACCGTCCTTATAACTAGGATAAACCGTCCTGATAACTAGGTTAAACCGTCCTTATAACTAGGATAAACCGTCCTTTATATAACAAGGATAAAAAAAAACCCACATCGTACTGGGTGTAATTTTTTGTAGTTGAATACAATGTTCGTACGACTGGCATAAATTGATACAAAGTAGGCTATCAATAGCAGCTAGAAATGTGTTAAGACTTGTGCACAGGAAGATAGCCTCATGGGACCGAGGCTAATATATATACCAGAGGGTGTATACAATTTAAGTACGAGTAGAAAGTAGCAGTACAAGAAGGCTGTAATACAGCTGCTATGACATACAAGGAAAACCCGTCATGCTACTGAGTGAAACTGTTTTGTTTGAGTCAATGCGCCAAAATAGTTCCCGCCTGAGCGAATAGTGGATGCGACACGACTAGTTCGAATACAAGCAAGGGGAATAAATGGAGAGTTGTGTAATGTATCAAACCACATCTATTGATCTACATATGCAGTTAAATTACGTGTTGTTTGTATGGTATTATTCGACGTAGCAAGATCATGCAACTAGAGATAATATAAGATAGCACATAACCTGGGGTAAGCGCGAATGCATAGCCTACGAATACTGTTCAATACAAAATGCGACTCATGCATGACACAGGACCAGATCGAGTAACATATGGTTACATAGTACTAGTGTAGCCTAACAGCAGTAAATTCAAGAACTTATATTAGGGATGTAAATAAACAATATGGAACGAACTCACTCCGTTTGAGGTCCCAGAACGTGGATTACAAGCTGCGGCAATATTCTGGTTCTGGAACACCGCATGCACGGCCGGCATGGGATCTTGTGCATCTCAGGATAACTGTGAGTCTGTACCGTCCTTGTTCTTCTGATCTTGCTCATTACTGTTGCCATTTGTTCGAAGATTGGTGGTCGAATCGGAGAGCAAAACGGTTCTCTTTACTTTGTCTTTTTTTTTTGTATACCAGGTTTTGGTAGCTTACGCTCTGGTTAGAATATTGCGAATGAGGCGTGAAGCATATAGCCTGTAACTAAATATCTTTCACTAAGAATGGGGCCATTGTATTGTTGCGACGGATATATGTAAGAAGAGTTGATTGATTAAACCCAAGTGCATGACGTGTTCACGTGCTGTTCCCAAGGTTCAATCTCCTTTGGCAGCATGATTAGAAAGTAATGCCTTGTTTTCCAAGTGCAGTAGTTTTGTATTGGCATTTCCATAAGGCAAATAGAGTCTTCTTTGACATATTACTTCATTAACCACAATTTATTGCGTTGCATAAATTGCATATTAGACCTAACATATTTCAGCAGTGGAATTAGATATATTCTGGGGCTGTAAGTTTGGTGTCAAATAAACTATACAAAATTATAACAGTACTCCGAATAAAATTTTGATTTTTAATCGACGTTTCGACTAGTTTGTAGTCATCCTCAGGATGACTACAAACCTGAGGATGACTACAAACTAGTTAAAACGTCGATTAAAAATCAAAATGTTATTCGGAGTGTTATTTGTATTTTCTTAATATACTGAATATGGTTTCCGAAATGAACTATCAAACTGAACTATTTTCAGATAACAAAATTGATGATCTTAACTCACTTTTTTACGCAAGATCTTAACTCACATTTTTTATTTTTATAGCTTTAACAGACATCAGGTTTGATTTACCACCAAGTAGTAATCATTTCCAGCCAAAGTTTCAACTGAAATTTAAGAAAGATAACACTTGGTATTCAGTGAACGCATCAGAATACAGTGTGACTGCATCTGAGGTACAGGAATATTGTGTATGGAGATCGACGCATCGTAATTATACGATATTCTGAAGTAGTTTTTTTAATCATTGTGATTAATCAAATGAAATATGTTTGCAAGAAATCGTCAAAACAAGAAATTAAATGTTTAGTATTTCGCCGTCGTCATGCAGTCGCTATAAGAGACCTTACGATTTAGGACGGCAACGCGACGGAAACGGCTATCAATACAATAGATCATTGAAAAGAATTGAGTAATTACAATATATGAGTAATTTAGACATTGTCCTCGCTCTGCATGTTTACAAAGCTAAATCACAAATTCATGAATAGTATAATAATAAACTGATTTATTCAAGAGTATTTCCTATAAAGCTCTTCATCTGTTGACGACTGTTACCAGCAAGCCCATGATTACTTTAACGTAGGCGCCGTCATATTTCATTTTCTCTCGATCATTTTCGGAAAATTAACTACGGAATTAATTTCCTTGACTTTGTTTTACAGGTTACCGATACGTCGTTTGAAGTGATAAAATTATACTCACCAAATAAAGGATTGGTTGTACTTCGATCGAATAAAAAGCTGGACGACGATGATCTTTTTCTGAGTAGTAATGGAGCTGGATACATGCAACTGAAAGTTTGGAATAAACCAGTCCGATGTCCTCCTAGAACAACCTCAGAAGTCGACCCTGCCTTGTTGTTTCGTGTGGTCAGACCGTTGGGACAGAACTAAAGTTTAGCTTAAGAATATATTTGCTACGAGCTGTTCAATTTGAGTTCTTTCATAATCATAGGTAGCTTTGATCATACCATATTTTAAAAATCATTGACCTTCATCTGCCTCCTAAAGACTCGTAAGATTGATATAATTAAACTTTGATATAAATCAGTTCTTTTCTTTAAAAAGGATAAATTAATCAGGGCCGTCCTCAAGGAATTCTTCAGAGGGGGCAAATATTAAAGTTTGTAATTATGCACCTACATTTTTATCACAATTGTAATCAGTAAGGATAATTATATACTCTTTACTCACTAAAATCCAATAAATTTCATTAAACCGTACACGTCAGTATCATAATTTAAACTGGAAAATACCTGTATGCAGAAACCTAGGCCACGCCTTGCTGACAAAACCATTGTATTTTCCGAACAGGAAGTATTTAAAGTAGTTCATAGTTGTCATGGAAACACGATAATTTTTTAAGAATATTTTTACAAATGAAAAATCCCCTAAAAATATGACTTCTAATTACAAAATCATCAATATCCAAAACATATATTTGTTAGGTATGTTATTATATGGAATATAAGCTTCAATTTGAAGGTCTATGGCAATAAAAAATAAGTTTGTCTTATTTGAAAGAACTTTTAAAGTTATGCATGAAGACCCTTTACAACTGTTTCGTACCTTGCTTGGTTGTCGAAATATTTTGACCAAAAACAATGTGCAGTCCGCCATTTTGGGATTATAATTGACCTAACTGCTGACGCAGCGAGCGAGCCTGAAGCGAGCGAGCAAGTCAGCAGTTCTACTTCGTATTGGGCACTGAAAGTAAGATTTTATTTCCGCTTCTCCGACCAGAATGCACTGCTGTTAACCGACCAGAACGCATTGGCATTTATCGACCAGAATGCATTGCTGTTAAGCGACCAGAATGCTTTGCATGCATGATGCTATAAGTACGGGGAATCTCATTAGTCAGTTTATGTATTTTGTATCCATTGTATAGTCTGTTGATTTCTGGCTGGTCTTAACTATACATACTGAATTTGCTTATTACAAACAATTTAGGCCTATAACGCTTGGAAAGCGATATTTCCGTGTTTGTGTTCTTCACCTGATCTTGTTTTTTCTTGTCTTATATTTAGCACTTAACAGTAAAATCTACATTGTATTAATTAAATGCACGCCTGAAAGCGTTCAAGCGTTAAAAGAGAATCAACTTCACCTCGATTGTTTTCGATCAGTTTGGTATAATTTAAACAGGGTACATTTTCTCTGTTGAGTTTTTGTTTGAATCATGATTTGACCATAAGGTAATTGACACGGAGACATGGCCACTGCCATGCAACTGTGACTATAGTATGTAATTTTAAAAGAACGATGCTTTGCATGCTATTTTGTTATGTTATGTTATATATTGGCATGTTTCGAATGCATTAAAATAATGTCCTCAACTCTGTAGTTTTCAAAGTCACGTGACTTTAATTTGAAGTCCCTGGATGCAAGTTACGTTTTGCTCTATGTTGTTCGGTATTAATGCAGTTCTTAAACCCAGTTAGTTCTTAAACGACTTCGCATCAGTAAATTCAAAAGAAAGGCAATTTGGCGAAGAATTATATTCAAGCGATGTAAAACATCCGCCCACCGACGATATACAGGGTGTCCCAAAACCCCCGAAAACTATTGAAATAACGTATTGTTGGAATTTGAATGCCTCAGCACTTTGCTGAATCCACACGTGCATAAAGAAGCTGTTTTTTAATTCCCACGAGCAGAAAATCGAGCGTTTTACAAAGATATTTTAATTTATTATTAAGTCGATATTTAATATATGCACCCTTGTCAATATTTTACGCATCTTTGCGTCCAGCTTAGTGCCAGGGCATTCAAATTTTAACAATACGTTATTTCAATGATTTTTCCTTTTTTTGGGATACCCTGTACAGTTAGGTGTCCCAAAAAATCCCCAAAACTATTGGAATAACGCATTGCTAGAATTTCTATGCCCTAGCAGTAAGCTGAACGCAAAGATGCGTAAAATATTGACAGGGTGCATATATTAAATATTGACTTATTAAGAAATTAAAATATCTTTGTAAAGCTCACGATTTTCTGCTCTTAGGAATTTGAAACAGCTTCATATTTATTAAACAGTTCTTTAAGCCTACCGCACACGAGAGCAACTAGCTGAGCTAACCGCCTCGCTTGGCAGCTAGCTCAGCTATGTATTTTCACCGCACACGTTGGGAAAACTATTCAACAACCATATAATTGACAAAATCATTTGCATGTTCCTCCAATTTGTTTCTCCTCACATGAAGAAACTATGGTTTGTCATTGGCTAATTGATTCAAACAGCTCAGCACTTGGCTCACAACATCTGCAGACGCTGTGTTTCCTCGCGAGGTGAAAAATATCAAACACGATAGATATATTTTCCTCAAGGCCTCGAGAAGTCAAATCCTCACAAAAACTGTCCGCACACAAGAGAAACTTGCTGAGATAGCTGCCACGCGAGGCGGTTAGATCAGCAAGTTGCTGTCGGTTGCGGCGGGCTTTATGCCTACAATTTACTTAAAACTTATGTCGAGCTTTATGCACTTGTGGATTCAGCAGAGTGCTGAGGCATTCAAATTCTAACAATATGTTATTTCAATCGTTTTTAGGTTCTCTGGACATCCTGTATTCGAAATATATGAGCAAAATTTATATCTGATAAAAAGCACTCGCCTGCTCGTGTCTTAAATAGTACATACCGCACTCACTGTACAGTTGTGATAGTGTGATTATGGCTGATTTTGTGGTCCAGTAAAATGGTTCCAAAAATGGGTACAAGTTTCCATACTATTGTCGTTCTGATGTCATCAGTGGCGTAGCCAGCCCGACAATTTGGTCATGCTATGCAAATATTTCCGTGTTCATAGACCGTGAAAACAATCAATTTCTAAAGAAATGAATCGTGATAATGATTTGAAATTTGCATAGCATGACCAAATTGTCAGGCTGGCTTCGCCACTGGATGTCATATTAGAGAAATGGAAGGATTAGTAAGATGAAGAAATAGTTACGGTCAGATTCTCATGTTTAGCGCATAATAAAGCCGGGGTTAGGGATGGGTTGTGATTTCGATCAACATCAAAAAATATATTTGTGACCGAATTAACAAGAAATTTATTCATACGATGGGTTAGGAGCTTACGCGATTGCATTTAAGATGGGGTTGTTAATATCAAAAGATGAGGCCGTTTTTGATATATCGTCAAATTAAGGAGCAAGTCAGCATTTACTGCTGAAAAGTATACTAGTTAATTAACTGAGTTTTTGATGAAGTCAAAAGCAGAGTAAACTTGTTAAAATCTCTTCATGTGGGACTAAATTTCTTCGAAAAATTTCTTAAAATGTTTTGAGTGAATTGAATACTAAAAAGACTTCGGAAAATCGAGTTTCATATTGACAATGACATATGGTTTGCAAGATACAAATTTTGCTTTTTACTCTACTTGTAAAGTACGCATGTTGAATGCATATCCAAGAAGGTGGAATGCGCGCTGCTTTTGATAAAAAAAGGTCGATTTATTTCGAAAACCAAGCAAGATACGGAATAATTGTAAAGGAAGCCTATATATTATTTTAAATGTTTTAAACAAGACAAACGTAATTTATATTGCCATAACCCTTTAAGGTAAAATTCAACCGCAAACGCTTCGCAAAACCTTCTAAAGTGTTCTTTTAATTAAATAAATCTAAACTGACTTTATCGATAAAATTTGAGTTTGGAATAAAATTATTTCAAATTCTTCCATGCAAATAACTTTGCTTTCTTTTTCATTTAAATTAAAGGACATTGGCAATCTAAAATTTTATTGCTTCTTCGGAAAGAGCATGAAAAAATAAGCCGGTTGGGCGTTTAATGCTCTGTTCTATCTCATCTTGTTCCGAAGTTATGGGCAAAAATGTGCAAAATATAAATTGCTGATTCAGCACAACGTGTGACTTCATTAGTTGGGTAAGTATGTTTATTGAATAGCAAACTAAAGCATAGCTAAGTTATTATTGGCTCAAATCAAATGAAATTTTGCATACAGATAGTACATGATGAGACGAATGGGAAAATACTTCAAATTTTGTTGTCAAGGCAAGACAGTCGTTCCCAGGCCCATTACACTGATTTTGAATAACTAGTTGCATTCATGTATGCGTATGTCATTTTCGAATTATTATCATGCAAGTAAACTTTTGGCATGCATAGGTATGGTACACATGCTTCTGATATTATTTTAACCTTATCGGTACCATGAATAAAGCCGTTTTATATAATTGGCGCAAGGGGCCTGGGAACGACATTGTTACCTTGGCAACAAAATTAGAATCGTTTTTCAATGCGCCTCATCATGTACAATCAGTATGCGAAATTTCATTTGATTTGGGCCCATAATAACTGAGCTATGCTTCAGTTTACTATATTCAATAAACATACTTACCCAACTGAAGACGTCACACGTTGTGATGAATCAGCAATTTATATTTTGCACATTTTTGCGTATAACTTCGGATCTAGATGAGATAGAATAGAACATTAAACGGCCAACCGGCTTATCTTTTCATGCTCTTTCAGATGAAGCAATAAAAATTTTGGTTGCCAATGTCCTTTTAAAATATTAATACAATAAAAAAGGGCAATCAATGAAGATACACTGAAACTATATGCTGTCTTGTGTCATTATACGCAACAAAAACAATAGGTACAATACATCAAATTTTTTAAAAAGTTACCTTCGTTAGCGTCGGCTCCTTTATTCCCTTCTTTTAGCAATTCTTTCGCCTTTATTTTATCAAAAAGATTTTGAAATTTACAAAATCTTGCAAAAAATGAAATATATTTGCAAGTAATCATCAAATCAAAAACTGTTTACTATTTCGCTGTCGTCATGCAGTCGTTATCATGCAAATTTAAAATTGGACATTAATGTCAGTCCGATATATCATGAGATCAGTGAGTATGACCACCCACCGGACCACCGACGATAACCCACGCGCGCGATCATTGATGAACATTAGACTTCGCTAATGCTTTCCTTTCCCCGGGGGTGAATAGCCGGGCGGAATTAGTATCCTCGCACGGCGCCTTTGGCTCGGGGACAACAATGTTGCATGGTGGGAACGAAAATAAGCGTCGTCATTCACACACATAACACTGCTCAACAGAGACGTTGCAGGGGGGGGAGTTAAGTGTGTGACACTACCTTGAACTCAATCATTCGTCTAGCGAAATTTCCAGCTCTATGTATAACGATGGACACTAAATTTGGAGTTTTTTGGGAAATAATACACATCTCACCTTAATGGCTAGCCTAATGATCAATTTATACATTATATTTTCATAAGTGCTGACGAGCGTTAGCGAGGCAGCACACTATTCTTCACGTCGTAGGATTTCTCCATATTTCTCTCGCACGAACTGTGTACAGTCAATATTTCGATTTGTGTCTGTCTATCTACATGTCATTGGAGTGACGTGGGTGGTAAATTGGATGACAGGAGCGGTTCAACAAGATTTGTACTGCGCACGGATGTTCTTCCCGTTTTAGAATTCGAATGTTGCTTACTAAAAGGTCCTACAATCACCTATTTCAACTAATCGACAACTGTCTCGGGCTGGTTGCTGTACGATTTGTAAGCAAACGTCAACTGCAAAAGTTTTTTAACGTTTGGTTAATACATATACATATATATGTTTATGTTTAAATTAAATTAAATTAAACATATATGTTTGACGTTATTTATATATATATATATATATATATATATATATATATATATATATATATATATATATATATATATATATATATATATATATTTGGCCTTATTTTTATACACGTTTGTTGGTCCCGCCAATATTGCTTTATCAATGTGAAAAGGGAATTATCAAACTCCAGATTAACCAAATAAAATTAGAAGTAGTTTAATGAGTGTTGGAACTACATATGATCTTAAATAAAATACATAGAAAGATTGCGTGACAGGTAACTCTGGTGTAAATATAATGAAACGTATCATTACAGACCATATCTTAGTCCGTTAATTGTGGTGTTATGATAAGAAGTTTACTTGCGAGTTTCGTCCGTTATTATAGTGAATTATTGCAATCGAAGAATGACAAGGTTATAGAACTAAAAATGCTATATGTAAAAAATACGTTATAATATCTAGTCTATAGACTAGAAAATACATGCATGCAGAAACCCTCGCCTTGCTGACAAAACCATTGTATTTTCCGAAAATAAAGTATCTAAAGTAGTTGTCGTGGTAACACGATAATTTTATAAGAATATTCTTACAAATGAAAAATCGCCGTATCAATTTCCCAACATATATATGTTAGGTATGTTATTATACGTAATATAAGCTTCAATTTAAAGTAATATTCAACCACAAACGCTTCGCAAAACGCTTTAAAGTCACTAGTGTTCTTTATAAAACTAAACTGCCTTTTGAAATGGCTTTAAAGAAAAACTTTGGTTTGCAATAAAATGATTTCAAATTCTCGCTTGCAAATAACTTTGCTTTCTTTTTTATGTAAAAAATTCAATATCATAAAAAAGGGAATCAATATATATTAAAGATACACTGAAATTATATGCTGTCTTGTTTAGTTGTTTCATATACGCAAAGCTAAAGGCCGTCGGGTTTTAAAGCCATTATAAAATCAATATTTAAAACAACCTTACCTTCGTTAACGTCGGATCCCTTCTTTTAGCCGATTCTTTCGCAGTTTCTTTCTAAGAGAGCTTTTGAAATTTACAAAATCTTGCAAAAATGCGGGCAAAAATGAAATATATTTGAAAGAAATTTATCAATCATCAAATCAAGAAATGTTTGCTATTTCGCTGTCGTCATGCAATCGTTATAATGCAAACTTTAAATTGAACCAATCAGTGTCCGCTATTCATGACAGTCCGCCATATTTTTGAGATCAGTGAGGATGACCACCCACCCAACATCGTTGGTGACCCACGCCCGCGATAATTGATGAACTTTAGTCTTCGCTAATGCTCTCGTTTCCCCGGGTGTAAATAGCCGGGGGGAATTAGTATACCCTTGCTCGCACGGCGCTCCGCGCCGTCGGCTTGGGGATAACTCTCTTCAAAGAGGAAGTTTTTGAGTTATTAATATTATACGTGGTATGTCAAAAATGTGTAATTTTATCATTATTTCATTACAATAATTGTGCATCTGTGCTAATTACAAGTACATGCAATCGGAGTTCAATTTGCAACATTTCATCTCATTTCATAACAAAAAGTTTTTTGTCAGATGACTACATTCTGTTTAGTTTTTCCGCCCACACACCTCCGGCTATAACTTGTTTTAAAGGATTAATCGTGTTCGGTGCTTATTTTCACAATCTCTTCTCACTTCAATTGGACAAGTACAGCGTTATTCAAGATGTCAAGACTTATCTTAAAATTTAGACACTCGACTGAAGTCTTAAAAACCCTTAATGTTTTTTCTCGCTGTATTCACAACGCAACCGGGCGGAACTTGGTGAATTTGGGCATTGCTTCGAATAAACCTACAAAGCTGGTACTATGTGGCGCTGGTGTCAATAAGGTGAGGAAATTGAAATAATTATTGTCAACCTTTGTCTGTGATAAAATCCTCGATTAATTTCTACAATCGAGTATTTTGATCGGCCATTTCAACAGAGGGTATCATTGTTATTGACTTCTTGTCTCATAAACCCTGCACTTGTTCCTGCAATTGCAAGAGAGTAATCTCCAACAAAACTATTCACATTGCATGATTTGCCCTTTCAAACTAGTTAATTTAATTAAGTTAAATTAAGATAAGACATGCTCTCAACACATTTGTTGCTGTCTAATGGTGACAAGCAAGATGTCGTTGGCACCTAAAATTGCTGCGATCGTATGCTGCTATAGTAAAGGTTCTGAAATCACCTGTATCATCAAGCAAATGTGTCTGGTTCGTTATTGTCACCTCTAATATAGAACACCAAATAAATATATAACCGCTGAAAAACGTCATTGAGTGAATATACATGGAATAAATTAGCATGCATTAAAAAAATCGTTTTTGTTAGGCCAGGGTTTGGTTTCCCACACCATTGACGTCACCCATGTAAGAAATAGAAAATATTTCCCGTGTTTCTGTAAAGTTATAGAAACACGCGTGACAGTTTGGGAGAAACGAGAAATCTCGTGGGAACACGAGCACGAAGTGCGAGTGTTTCCACTCAAGTTTCGAGTTTCACAAGTGTTTCTATAAACTCTTTCAAATAAAAATATATAAACTCTCACAAACTTTCACAAGTGTTTCTATAAACTCTATAGGAACACGGAAAAAATGGTTCTATTTCTTTTATTAAATAGCCTTTTAAAAACAATAGAAAAGATAAATTTATTGATTTTAAATGCTTTCATTCAAATATTAATTCCACCATAATATACGTTCGTGTAAAGAATAATTATAAAAGCATAGCGAGGTAAACAAGTATATCGCTGTCAAAACAACAACAGCACTTAACAGGCTTACTTTATCAAAGTATATAATGCACTCAACAACGTACATGCTTGCATGCAAAGAAAGATCTGTTTTAAATAGTTAGTGAACATTTATTAAACATGATTAAAAACTATAGCTATAGTAAACATGATCAAAAACGTCGCGAGGAAATATTTCTTTAAAAAGACAAAGTAAAATTGAAATATCTTACCTTGGTAAACAGTCAAACAGATACAACGTGTGCTATTGTAGTTTGTGCTTTAGGTCTTCACTTCCTAAGTTAGCAAAGTGCTGCCGCCTTTTATTTTGAAACGATTCTTCCGGTGTTTCAGGACGTTTTCGACTTTTTTCAAAATTAAATATTGTTTGTATTTTGTCTTTTAAACACCCGCGCAATTCACGCAACCCTCGTGAAAAGTTCCCGTGTTTCTATGGAGTTATAGAAACACGGGTTTTTTGAGCTTTTGACCAATCAGCGTCCGTGTTTTTAAAAGGCTATTTTATAAGTATTAATAGTCAAGGCTAAGATATTCTATGGAAATACAAAAGAGCTTATTATATATTGACGTTGGTTTATGGTTATGCAAAATATTATGGTCATTTAACCGTCATGAACACGTGCGCATTGTTTTCTCGCCAAATAAAACAAAACATAATTAAATCGAAACCGGCATCGCTTCTGTTTGGCTGGGCGAAAAAAGCAATTCACGCATGACGCTGAACTGACCATTTTTTAATAAATCAAGACAAAAACCTTTAGATAACGAGGCTAATTTTTATCGAATATGATTGCTACGTTGGTGTGCTAGTCATTCTAACTCGCAGCTGTAAGCCAAGCTGAACTATACAAGGGCACAACTCAACCAGATCTAGTCAAATGTCCTCTAAACGTGCCTTTGACAAATCATCTTTAATTTTTACGTTTGTAGCAAATGGGCACAAAACGCAGCAAGAGCCATCACCATGAAGGTTTGTTTACTCTTGGCTGATAGTAATACCATTTGTATGTTTCAAAGACTATGCACCGAATGAAAATTAAATATTGCTCAGAATATATAGGAATTATGATCAGTGCTAATTAACTACTTGGTTTTTCAGGTAGCGTGATACAGTTTTAAAAACAACGGAAAATTCGCGATTTAGATTCGCAGTTTTGGACAATTACTACAACAGAACATAGAGGTTCGAATTTTTTGACAAACGTTATGCAAAGGCAGTTGATATGGCAGCAATATTGGGACCTTTAGCAAATAGGTGACGGCAACGCAACGACGATGGCCAAAACAAACTCGTTCAAATAAGTAACTTTCCTAACAACATGTCTTGCTTTATCCCTTGTATGAATTTGTTGCAGCTTAAGAAGGTTAGGACAGAGGTTTATAGTCGAGAAGGTTTCTACTAAACCAATTTAACGAAGGCGACTTCTCGCGGCTTGAATAGCCTGCGTGCAGCCTGACTTTAAATGGAGAGAAGTCAGTCTGCGAATCAGGGAACAATACCGTGTTCGCGCCATCTTTTGAATTGCATGGATTTCTGTATTCAAACGTGATTGTCTATTGCTCAAAAGCCTAACACACACGCTACGATTGGCCAATTCGTTAATATATATTTGGTTCAAACAACATTCCAGAATAAAAAAAATGGCGGACGAAAACACAACGAGCAATGTTGTGTGTAATTTATGCTCAAACCCATACAAAAAATTTGAAAGGGTTCTCATTGAGGTTCCCAAGACGCCATTTTGCTAAATATATTATTTTCACGCCTGACAAAAATGCATGCTAAAGCGCTAATGTGCTACAAATTCTTTAATTTTCATCCTGTTTCTACAAAATTTCGCATAGACATATAATAGAACATGTCATTCTTAGAAATCGTATGTTTTTGTTTTTCGAATTGCTACATTTTTGGTGGGAAAATGACGTCACAAACTTGCCGCTAAAAAATTAACAGTTAGCTATTGTTAATTTTATGCACTTATTCGGTAGCCGACATTGAGAGAGTCTTAAACTGAAGTCTGTTTCGAAAAACAACCATTCCTTGCGAAGATATCATGACTCAAATTTCTAAAAATCGGCCATTTTCGTCTATTTTTAGCAAAAAATGGCCGATTTTCGACATTTGTTCCGGTATATCTTCGTGAGAAATAATCGTATTTAGAAACGGACTTCAGTTTTCTATTACTCTCTCAATGTCGGCTACCGAATAAGTGCATAAAAATAGCAATAGCTAACTGTTAATTTTTTAGCAGCAAGTTTGTGACGTCATTTTCCCGCCAAAAATGTAGCAATTCGAAAAACAAAAACATACGATTTCTAAGAATGACATGTTCTATGTCTATGCGAAATTTGGTAGAAGCAAGATGAAAATTAAAGAAATTGAAGCACGTTAGCGCTTTGGCATGCATTTTTGTCAGGCGTGTTTGTTGAACTGAATCTATTAACGAATGGCCAATCGTAGCGCGTGTATTAGGCTTCTGAGCAATAGCCAATCACGTTTGAATACAGAAATCCATGCAATTCAAAAGATGGCGCGAACACGGTTTGTTCCCTGATTCGCAGACTGACTTCTCTTCATTTAAAGTCAGGCTGCACGCAGGCTAGGCTTGAAAAGCAGACGTTGTATACCAAATGTGAAAAGCTTTAGTTTACTGTTGTAAATAGAGCAAGGACGGCGTCTAAAACTCCCAAGAGGCCTTTAATTATGCATTTATTTTCTACACTGTCATAAATTTAATGTATTAATAGCCGTTGCGGCCTGCTAGTTAAAGGTCCCTAATGTCGTTTGAAGACGCCGGAAATTTCCACTAGCGATTTCTTTTGCGCCAATCAACTTTATTCATTTGTCTAAAACTAATTGGTTCCAAAAGGTTGTTGCCAAAAGCTCAAGGACAAAAGCAAATAGGCGCTTCGCGAGAAATAATTCGCTAGTGAAAAACCGGCTTTATTTGGAAACGACATCAGTGATTCCCAAATTTTATTTTATAGACAATGATTTATTTTAGTATTCTCAATTATTTTGCGGACATTTTCGAAAAAAAATTCTGTTGAGCCAAAAAAATGTAATTCGAATAGTCACATTTACGTAACTGTTGTGAAAAATTCGAATCCTTGATGTTATTTCACAACAAACAATAAGAGATTTTTTTGTTTTTCAACAAGTAATAATTCTCCAAAAATACAGATTTAAATCGTGAACTTTCTTTTAAAAAAATCTTTCGATCAATAATAAGAGAAATGAAAGATAGTTTTTACCGCAATGCAAACAACTTACTTACTTCAGCAGAAATTGAATGCTATACTTGCGGGTTACATTGTGCCGCTTTAACCTAAATAAAAGAATATGTATTATTACTTAAATATTAGGTGCCTGTTTTATTGCAGAAGCTTTAGTTTTCTAAAATTTGTGCTTTCAATGAAATATTGTTTCCCAATAGTTCCTTATGTCCCTGTCATCGACATTGCCATTAATGATGGAGACATTCGTCGATTATGGTCTTACAATAGCGCATATGGGGGCAAATACGTCTTTGTGACAAACAACCCCGCGCCAGAAGGTAAAGTCATCAATTTAACTTGAAATACATGTACATGCATGCTTACGGCACCCCTTGCTTATATTTTCCAAACATTGATTTAACATGAAATATGAGTAATTGGCCAATATTGAACGCAGTGAGCGTTGTGCGGCACGTTTTGGCCAATGTTTTGTACAAAACGACGAAAAATAATTGGTACTTTTATCTATGCAACAACAGTGGTGATACCCCCGCCACGTTGTTCAGATAGCATCGGTCTTGCGGCGGAAGTAATTAGTATACAACCTCACAATAGCGTCACGTTACCAAGTTGCGTTACCATACGTCACATTAAGTTGCGTTACAGGGTTACGCTACCTGTCACATAATTCAAAGACGTAACTGAAGGCGTGCTTTGTAGTGTGGCGGATATGTGCATCGATGTTTCCGAAGAGGGTTAAAAGCACCAAATTGTAGCACATTTACACAGTAGCATATTTTTATGAGTAGAACAACATGCAAAAGTGGGGCCATCGTGAAACTGTTTTTTAGAGAGTTACGATGCTATTAGCATTATTTGCTATTAAATTCTACTACAACAAAAAATGTGAAATTTTGAATTGAATCGCGACAAATATAACTTGCATCATCAGAAAGCTTGTAAAAAACTACATAAAAGACTTTTAAACAGTTTTTTTATTCGTCAAATGGTTATTGCTGTAAATTAGGCACATTATCTCGCTGAAAGTCCCTAATTAATTATTCCATGTTTGAAAATGCGTATTTAACAGTTTATAATTCGAAAACTATTTCAGAAATAAAAAAACTGTCTAAACGTCTTATATGCAGGATAAGCTTTCTGATGATGCAAGTCATATTTGTTCTAATTGAATACAAAATTGGCTATAATAGAATTCAAAAGAAGAAAATCACTAATCGCCCGTTTTCAGGAGTTAGCAGCAAAATAGCGATGGCCTCACTTCAAATAACTATTAAGCAAATAAAACTACATCAATTGTAAAAGTTTGATGCTTTTAACGTCAACGGGAAATACTGATCAATAATTTTACACATATCCGCCTCACTATTGCCAAATAAGCAACATGTCACAGGCGTGCCCTTTTCGTGCTACCGATTTTCATTAATCACAAAATGTATTTTGTTTATTCAGAATTCATTTCTGACAAATTTGTGATAAAACCAAAAGAAGTTACTGATAGTTTGCATGTATACAAATGTGAAAAACAGTTAACTCAGTTAGTAGAGCAAAGGACCGTAGTTATTACCATATAATTATTCCTTACGTCACCTGTAAGTTAGAAAATATTTGCCTTACATGCGCCACGTAACACGTCGTGGGTTCCAACTTCCAATACCACTCCTGGCAAATTTATTTTCAAAACGCATTCGAAATTCGTTTCAATTCTTTTGATGAATTTTATTTAATGGAGCCGTTTTGAGTAATAAGTTTCCAAGGTGAAATAAAAATCGCGACATATTTTAAACCGAACTTGGCAGGAGCTAAGCACAAGTTAACATGGTTGTCAACGTCGTTGTTATGGTCGATATTTGCATATTACACAGTCATTAAAAAGTGACCAAACCGCCCACTCCATTTGGATACGATTTTATATTTCATCAAGCGAAAAAGAAGGGAACATATTTTTATAATTATGGTTAGCCGGTATAAGTTCTGGGTTTTGCGATATATATCGAAATTTTGTCTCGTTGATATCCAAAATGTGTGCAGCCAAAGTCATCAACAGTGATAAATTTGATATCTTAAGTGTTTATTACGGATAGATAGGGATTCAGTATTTATTACGCGGGCGTAGACCTTGATTCGAACGCATGGCTCTGTGGGCATAAATTTCAACAAGAAGTTAGATTTAACACACATTTATTTTTTCAAAACGTTAACAAAATATTTTTCTACAAAATGTTGAAAAAATGTTCTACACTTGTTATACTGCTACTATAATGGATGGTTTGTCCTAAGATATTGATATAATGACATATTGATATCCTAAGATATTGCATGACATCCTAAGAAATTGCACAATATCCTAAGGTACTGTATTATATCCCAAGATATTGTATGATATATCAAGATATTGAAATTTTAAGATACTGATATCTTAAGATAGTGGATAATACCCACAACTTTTCTACCGCACCGGGGTAATAACTACAGTCCTTTGCTCTACCAATTGAGCTAACGGTACAGTTTAAAAACTAACTTCTAATTCACACTTTTATACCGGCAAACTATCAGAAACCTCTTGTCGTTTTGCCACAAATTTGTCAGAAACTAATTCTGAATATATGAAATACATTTTGTAATTTATGAAAATCAGCAACAAGGGCGCGCGTGTGATATGTTGCCTAGTTCGCCCCAGTGCGCCTTGAGTTACGTCATTGGGTTATGTGACCGGTAACATATTCATGTAACGCAACCAAATGTGATGTATGATAACGTTACTCTGTGACATGTAAAGTAAAGTAACCGTGTAGCGCAATTCTAATGTGACGTATGATAACGCAACTTGGTCAAGTCACACTATTGTGACGCTACATACAAATTACTCCCGCCTCTAGAGCCGATGCTATCTGAACAAGGTGACGTCATAGATTTTCCATGCTAATTACTTCCGCTGCCATACGGGGACTGTCGCTATTAACAATGTATTTCAAAATATATACACCCTTATCACGGTGGGTAAAAAAGACAGCAAATTCGGCAAGGGTCCAATAACTTTCTGTCGTTAGTTTGGAATATCACGAAACTTTCTCACAGGATAGTACTTGACATTCCGAAAAACGTATGTTTTTTGTTTTTTGATATTGTTATATTTTGGCAGGAGAATGACGTGCCAAATTTGGCGCCAAAAAATTAAACTCGAGATAAGAAAATGCTAGGAGCTTTTTTGAGGAGATTGTACTATAAGGATCTCAAAACTGTAAAAACATTGAAAATACGCCAAACGATTTTTAGGAATGTCAAATACTATCCTGTGAAGAAGTTTCGTGATATTTCAAACGAACTACAGAAAGTTATTAGACCCTTGCCGAATTTGCTGTCTTTTTTGCCCACCGTGTACATTATCTTTCATTTTGTCAGCTTTTACTCATTGTAAAATTTACTGTAGTCTGAAACGCTTCGTAAAATTTTTGAAATGTTCATTCAACTATATATAAATTCCTTTTGCTGATAAACAGTTCAAATTATTGAGTAATTTCAATTCAGTGTCGATATTAGTTTGCTCTCCTTTACATTTTAAGTTGTTGTTTCCTAAATTTAGTCTAAATAGGGTAATTTAGGGAACTTAGGGTTACATTTAATCGCAATTAAGCAGTGCATGTTTTGCATATTTATTATTAGCATGACAAAATTACTGGATGCTGATTGGTTGAGAGGAGTACAATTATTTCATTATTTATTTATCTTCTGTAATCAGTGGCAAATACTGCAATTTCATTGGTTTACAGGAGTGCGATTTGAGCATAAATCGCACCTTTTGTGAGCTGTAATCGCACTCTTGTCTACAGCCAATAAAAATAAGTCTAGTATTTACAACTAGCCAATCAGCATTCGGATACAAACTTTGAATTTTATTTTCTTTATTGCTGTAAAAAATTTCAAAATGGAGGAATTCATAAATTTTGAAAATTTTGACCTTTTAATTTTTAAATCAGCCCTCGAAACCTTCAAAATTGAGGTCGGAAAAAAAATGCCGACCTAAATCTGGCCTAGCTCGACACATCTCGGCATTTTTTAAAATCTGTTTCCATGTCTTGGAGCACTAGTAGCCTCCACTAGTAATCACGTACTTACGAATCATTGAAAAGTATAAATGTCACGAAGGCTTTTCTTTTAGAGTCTTACCTAAATGATATCATAATACCCCTTAATTCTTAAACATTACACCAAAGTGTATAGAATTCTATAATTGCTGACTTTTTAACAGCTATAAGCACCAAAAAATATTCTTACTTTCGCTGAATTAAGGTCGGCAAAACATTGCCGACCTGGGAGGTTGACAGGTCGGCATTTTAATAGGTCGGCATTGCCGAATGCCGATCTCGTTTTCGAGGGATGTTAAATTATATATTTTCTGACGAAAATGACCTACCTGTTCTTCCAGCAGATGATACCGAACTAGACACAACCAGGAGTTATATTCCAATCAAATTGAGATGATTAACTGAACTAAAGAACTTCACTATTTTGAACACGTTATAAACATACAAACATGGCTTCCCAATTGTGTGTTGAATAATTCAAACAAATGTTGTCATGTGATATACCGGAAATAATGCCCGGAAGTTAATAATATGTTAATTTGATTATATATGATAAATAATAATTCAAAATTGCACAATTTCACTAAGAATTGTCGTGACAAAAATTGAATAATTATATTGAATTTCAACAAATTGTATTTTTGTGCTTTTCCCCCTTAAACAGTTTGATTACAGAAGATAAATAATTAATAAGTAATAGAACGAATTAAGTTGCACTATTAATGCCATAATCATACTCGTGATTAACAAATCAACCTCCCGCTACGCGGTCGGTTGATTTTGTAATCACTCGTATGATTACGGCATTTATTATTAGCATGACAAAATTACTGGATGCTGATTGGTTGAGAGGTGTACAATTATTTCATTAATTGTACAGCTGTACAATTAATGATTTTTCAAAAAATAAAAAAAATGGCGGAAAGGTATGTAAATACAAATTTAAATGACTAGAAGAACTAAAAGCAAAAGCCAAAAACGAAAATACAAGCAAAAGTACATAATATTGGTTAAAAGTATGGCAAGACTGGGCTTTGGTAAAACAGTGTGACCCTGAAATCGAAAATTATCCACCTGAAGAGCTTGATAAAGCACTACAAAAGTTTTACGCTGAGGTGCGTACGAAGAAAGGGGAAGATTACGAGCCTGACTGCTTGAAAGTTATGCAAGCTGGTTTTGACAGTTTTTTAAATAAAAAACATAAACTATGCCTGTTCAATAATTCGTGACCGAGAATTTCACCATTCAAAGCAAATTCTCGAGGACATGGCTCGTCAACTCCGCGATAATGGTTGCGGGAAAAGACCAAATGCAGGTAAACCGCTGACCCTGCAAGAAGAAGAATTGCTGTGGGAACAAGAAAAGCTGGGCAATTCGTCTCCACAAGCACTAATTAACACAATGTGGTGGCTACTTACTCAACACTTTGGTCTACGGGGACGACAGGAACACCATACAATGGCAGTCGAAGATTTCGAGTTTGGGGAAGACGACAACGGCATCGCGTACGTCAGCTTCAAGGAAAATCCTACAAAAACTCGCCAAGGAGGTCTCCACATCACTAGACGACAACAGCTGCCGAAAATGTTTGCCACTGGTGAAAAAAGATGCCCGGTTTCTTTGTTTAAAGAATATCTCATCCGTCTTCCAGAATCTTTGCGAACAAATGGGCCATTTTATCTCATGCCATTGTCGAAAACAAACCCAAACAACGACGTCTGGTTCAAAGTGCAAAATCTTGGTGTCCATTCAATCGATAAGATAATGAAAACGATGATAGCTGACACTCCACTGGCAAGTAGTTCCAAAAGGCTGACAAATCATTCTGCCAGAAAAACCCTCGTGAAGAAGCTGCGGTCAAACAACGTTGAGCGTTCGTCCATCATGAATGTGACTGGTCACAGAAACGAGCAGTCGCTGAACGACTACGACGAGGGAAACGAGCACATATCCAATCTAATCGGCAGCTCCAAATCAGTCAGCTCATTTAGTAAACAAAAGCCAATGTCCATGAATATGATGAACATTGCCCCACCAAGTGCACAGCAGCCTTCCACTTCAAGCGGTTTTCAACGAGTCGGTTTTTTTCCCAAAAACACGTTTAACCACTGCAATGTCGTTTTCAATGTTGGCCAAGGTGAATCCAGCTTATCCCCAAAGTCGAAAAGCGCCGTTACAAGCGAATTGTTATCGACAGTGAATCCGATTCACAAGAATAAAATATATTAACCGAAGGCATCGGCTTAGATTTAAACGTTGACTGTTTGTTATTGATTTCAACATTTAGCCACGTTTGCAAACATTTTTTGAATATTTATATTATCCAGCATATTTTGAACATACTATGATCTGACCATTTCTAGTTCATGTACATAATTTGTATTGTGTTTCTGTTGAAATAAACAATCTGGACACATCTCTGATTGTTAATATTTAACTTTTTACGCGTGATCGAACCAATGTCTGCTCACGTGATTTCGGCTTGAAATTTCGCCTGAGGGAGGGCCTAGTGGATGTAATTTTTTCATGCTAATAATAAACAAATAACAACTCGTGATGTTTGCAAATTTTGCCAAATTGGACTCGCCCCGGCGGCTCGTCCAATTTTGGCAAAATTTGCAACCATCACTCGTACTATTAATCCCTAATTGTACGAGCAACATCGCATAATCACCTATACTAATAGCACTCCTATTCATTCTATTACCATCATTAATTGTACTGCAGTACAATTAATGATTTTCCCAAAACAAACAAAATGGCGGAAAGGTATTTTAAACACAAGCGTGAAATGAAATTGCCGTGAAGGAACTAGATGAAAATACCAACAAAAGCACCAAATTTTGCTTGAACAAAACAACTAAATGAAAATACAAACAAAAGCACCAAAATTTAGTTGAAAGTGTGGCAGAACTGGGCTTTAGCGGGAGAATATGATGTTGACATTTCCAAACATCACTCGTACTATTAATCCCTAATTGTACTCGCCATCGCATGATTACCTATACTTATAGACATTCAGTGTTGTAATGAGTCGAGTCATTGACTCGGACTCGAGTCGCTATTTCCAGCGACTCGAATCGAGTCCAATACGAAAAATGACTCGACTCGAGCCAACAGCCCCAAAATGACTCAACTTGCTGATTTTTGTCCTAAATGACTCGAGTCAAATCGGGTACAATTTGCACAGAAGAAATTCATCAAAATTATTGTGATTGTATTACTTAGCGGGAAGAACAATGATTACTGTGAGCAATGAGAACTACGAAACTTTATCAGAAAACATATGGGAATTTGCATAGAATATATCCCTGACGAGCATGCTTATTATATTTCTGTTTTTAGAAACAACGCTAGAGCCACCGTTTTTAAAACGGAGTCCCAAAATTTCCCGGAAAGGCGCTCGGCCCCGTTGGCTCGGTGATTACCTACTAAACTGAGACTATTTATTTTTACAACAATTGTGATATTACTTTCCTAACTATGTTTATCCTAACCCACCGTGTCAACTTTCCCTGTGGGAGGATATTGGAGCGCACGGAGAAAACTCACGACATTCTCCAGAGCGTTGACAGACTCTTTTCACACGAGTCCATGCATTAGTCCAGACCGAGATTCGAACCTGCAATCCCAGAGGTGAAAGGCTCAAATTCCCTGACTCAAGTCAAGTTTAGTTGTTGACTCGACTTAAACCACTGACTCAACTCGACTAGAATGAAGCCGCTGACTCGACTCGATCAGAAACTGAAATGACTCGATTCGACTCGTGACTCGACCTTTGAGTGACCTTGACTCATGATTCGACCTGTAGGTGACTTGTTACAACACTGTAGACATTTATGAGGAACATTTTAAAGTAAACTTGCTGCATATTTCACGATTCCCTAGATAGTAAATTAATTCTTCTTATTTCTTCAAATTGCACGAAGGCTTAATGTATGAAACAATTTTCCAAATATATGTATCTTGCTTCTGATTATACCACTCATGCATGGCAACATATTTTGAGATTCAACGAGGATTACCACCCACACGTGCGATGAAATATAACCATTCGACCGCAATTATTGATAGACTTTATAGACTTCGCAAATCTTTCCTTTCCTCGAAGGTGTGTGAGCGGAATTAGTATACCCTCGCGCCGGGCTCTCACAGAATGGAGCTTCGTCCTGTTGGCTTGGGAGAATATTCTACTCAATATTTCACATATTATTTCATTATTTCTTTTTGCTAATTAGTTAACTATCTCCTAAGGGTGTTTGTAATCAGTCCTTACGTCCTATTGTTCTGGTTACAACACATCGAACAATACTTTTAAGTTTTTATTAATAATTAGGTTTTCATCTTCAGGTAGTTCTGCGTATGTGGTGGCAGCAAGTGGCGAAGTTCAAGGAGCAACTATTCGTAAGACAATACTTCGCGCTTCATATAATAACCTAAGCATCATTGAAACAGTTTTTCAAAAACCATCGTACAAACATTTGTCACTGTAAAGAATTGCCTTCTCCTGCTTCCTATTTGTTAAAAAACCCTATAAAGTGTCTTGCTCACCATTGATTTATTCGCACAATATACAATAATTTCTGTCAGAATTAGGGCTGCATGCCACATTCGCGCTAACGTTGATATGCCAATGCCATACGTGTATTGAAAGTTCGTTGTCCACGACGGTACGGAAAGTTTCTTTACATAAATTTTTTGGTTAAAAATAAAATAACAGAAGATGTTTGCCTGAAGGCAGTTGAAAGGTTCGTGCAAGCAAATATTATCCTAAGCATAATGAGAGGGGATAATGGATATTTGCCCACAAATGAAAGTAAAGTAAATATATTTCGGTTCCTCGGAAAATATTAATTATTCCTTCCTTTGGGATATAACAGTTTGCTATACTAGCTGCCGTTGTATATGCGAAGATGTCATGTTTTGATTGACCTGTTTCCTATAAAAAATCTTGTGGGCAGATTTGTTTAATTTAAAAAGAGCAGCTACATGCTTATAAATTAGCCATCCCAAGCTAGATAACACTCGGTCATTCAATTATAATAACGTCTCCAAAAGCTTACTTCGGTAATTCTCTTTAAAAATAGGTAAATTCATAAAATAAGGTTTATACGCTATAGTTTAAGAGTTTTCCTACTAGATAAGTCGAAGTTATTTAAGTTATGAACACGCGTAAACTTGATCAACCCAGCATATAACGGACTTGAGAAGTACGACGACGCCTTAAATAAAAATATTGTCACGCCTCGGTGCTGTTGGTTGGATTTGAATCAACCCACTTTTGTAGTCACATGCACAAGGTTCCCCTCGACCGTTAATATAAATTGTTATACAGTTTAATTATTGTCACAAATCTCTCAGTCTCAATTTTCCCTTCAAAGTTCTCTTTCTTTTCATTCTTCCTCAGCTCTTCTTCGTCGTTTTATTTTCGTTTTCTCAGTTTCTTCATTGACATCGTTCGGTTACTTTGAATCCACTGCTAGTTCTACATTTTCTAGCTCGTTCTGCATTCCTTGGTAGTTCTGCATTCCCTGCTAGTTGAGATCGCAACTTCCTTTTATACTAACGATCGACGACCGGGCAATCTTGTGCATGTGACTACAGAAGTGTGTTGATTCACGTCCAAGCTACCAGCTCTCTGTCTTTGTTTATTTGAGGCGTCGATGTACTTCTCAAGTCGGTTATATGCTCGGTTGGTTGAGTCTAAGAATGTTCATGACTTAACTAACTTAGACTTATCTTAAAGGAAAACGTTCAAACTATAAGTATATAACCCTTATTTTATATGAATTTAACTGTTTCTAAAAGGAACTTACCGAAGTAAGCTTTTGATGACGTAATGTTATAATTGAAAGGCCAAGTGTTATCTAGCTTGGGATGACTCATTTTTAAGCCGAGTGACTGTTTACGTGAAAGGTCAATGTTCATGAGACCTCCAGCAGCCGCTTTTTTTCAACAAATCTGCCAACAAGATATAAACTATAGGAAACAGGTCAATGAAAACATGACATCTTCGCATACATATCGGCGGCTAGCCTAGCAAACTATAATAGCCAAATGGAAGGAATAATTAATGTTTTGCGAAGGACTGAAATATATTTACTTTACTTTGATTTGTGGCAAAATATTAATTGTCTTTCTCATTGTGCTTGGAATAATATTTGCTTGCCCAAACCTTTCACCAGCGTTCAAGCAAACATCTTCTGTTATTTTATTTTATTTTATTTTATTATTAACCCAATATTTTATGTATAAGTGAGAGTGCTCCGTAACAATATGAAATTGATTAACGAATTTACCAATCAAAGCAGATTTTTATAACACTATGGCGTCAGGGCTGTTGCGAGATGATTTATTTTTGAGCGGGGAAAAGGAGAGGGTAATGAAAAAAGAGCTGGAAAAAGGATGCTCTCTTTCGCAGACATTCTTATAACTCTCTATACCCTGGGTTACAAAGGCTCCAGAGAGTTCCTTAGCTGGAGTTTGTGTGTCGTAAATTGAAACTCTGTAAAACCTCTGATTCAAAGAGGTGATTGTATGATTGAACCGCGCCAAACACAAAACAAAATTAGCTATTGAGTCCATTACATAATCTTAAATATAGACACCTGACTCGTGAAGGTTCAAAATAGAATTTTCATTTTCAGATATTACGGTAAAATATAAGTTTCTCGATTTTTGATGCTAACTTGGCACCGTTTTTCAATCTACAGTATGTGACACTTATATCACATATTCATGCACTAAAGTAATTTTAGTTTTGCAAGCTATGTTATACAACTATCAACTCATAGAAATCGAGAGCGAGTAATCTTATTGTTTTAGTAGAATCACAGATCAAACATAAGATATTCCTCAGACACCTCAGAAAACGCGAACCGGAAGCCTTTCTTTATTTCTTATCGAGGAATAGATAGCGAGTAGAGTAGTATCATTTATGTTCTTTATTCTTGCCTCTTACATTGCTTTGCCAGAATAATTTATAACAAGACGCATCATTGAGCTTGTTGTTGCAACAAATAGGCCTAAACTTCATTACTTTTCCATTTTTAGCTTTAACAGATTTTAGGTTCGATGTAGTACAACCAATTCCTCTAAGGTTTGAACTGAAGTGTGTGAAATACAACATTTGGTATGCTGTTAATGGTTCAGAGAGCGATGTTATAGCGTCTGAGGTATGCTGTGTATGGACGCCATAATTATATAATAATTAACAAATATAAAACATTTTCCGTGTTGATATACAGTTATGTCAACATGAGTGGACTTGGGAAAACGAGAAATTGTATGGAAACACGACGCCCGAAGGGCGGAGTGTTTTCATACAATTTCGAGTTTTCACAACTTCCACGAGTGTTGATATAACTATATATCAATACGGAAAAAATGTTTTACATTTTTTTATAATATAGCAATATCAAAAGCCCGAAGGATAAAAAAATATTCGTGCTTACAAGCGGCGAAAAATTTCCCGTGTTGACATTGAGTTATATCAACACGGCTCTTAGCCAATCAGCGTTCAGAATTTACAGATGCTATATTATAATCTGATATATTATACCTCAACTTCAAATTGTCCTATCAGGAAGCTTAGTTTGTGGCACGTGAGCATGAAATTAATCGCGATATCACGCCTTACGTCATCAATTTGCGAGCCTGCGTTCCTCCTGACAATGTTCCACCCCATGTTCCCGGGGAACATGGGGTGGAACATTATTCGCGTAGACCACGCGGGACAACACGCATGACAACAAGATGGCCGACAAAACATAAATAGTGTCAATGAGTGATGAATAATTTTAAACCTAAAACCTGGGGCTTTTTCGAAATTTTGAAGCAAATTTGAAAATTGTTGTCATTAATATTGCAAACCATATGTGATTCGAGAGAGAAGCGACGATACTTGCGTTAATCCGAAAATGAAACATCGTTTTCACGAAGGTATGTGTCAACTTTTTAATTCTCAACTTGGAGGCTTTCAATTTTCGGTATGATATATCATTTATAGACCCTCCGCTCGGGGGATTCGGCGAAATATTACCCTCAGTGATGATATTTCCCTAGGGGCAAAGCCTCGGGAAATATCATCACTTCGGGTAATATTTCTCTGAATCCCCCTCGCTCCAGGTCTATAAATGATAAGTGTGGATAGATTTTTTATCCTTACTTGATGCAATATTTTTTCGCAAAGGATGGTTTAATTATTTACACAGATTACGGAGAATCGCTTCCAGATCTCTTGATCTGCTTAGCGCATAAAGTAGCTGTATGCATGAATTTGGCTGCAATCCATAGTCTGACTATTCCTTTTATACAACCGAATCGCAATTTGAACGAACACTGTAAATGACTTCCCGTTGTGTTCCGAACTATTTTTTTCTTTGTAATCCACGAAATAAAAAGAAAGCAACAAAGTTTTGTTTAGCAGTCGGTTACAAAGTTATGTTTAGCTGTCTTAAAAATAACTTTAATATTGAGAAAAAAGCTGCAGGTATATAGTAAACGTGGGTAACTCCGAAAAGGAACATTTTTAATAATATATAGTTCTAGCCTAGCCTTCGACTATGTTTTATTCATTCTCAGAAATTATGCTAGGCTACATTACAACGATATTTATAGGTGAAGATTAAGGTAATTTGACATATACAAACAAATAGAGGAGATTATTAACAAATAAAGAAGAAACAGTTAATTATTTAAATATAAATTGTGTTGCATACATGTTTGGTTGAGTTGGTGAGTTTTCATATATTTTAGTTGTCTATTTGTTCTTTAATCCCCACTTATAGATAAATATCGTTTTAATGAAACCTAACATCATCCTGCTGATAACAGAAACATAGGCGAAAGTTAGAACTATATTAAAAATGTTCCTTTTCGGAATCACCGTTGTTTAGTATTTTGTAAGAATACTCAATCATTCCCTTAATTTTGGAAATACATACGGGTTTGTTTGCGACTAGTAAGGGAGCTGGAACGAAAATAGTTTTTTAAATATTGTTGTTATTTCTTGGTCATTTTTTTGCTATGGTCATTTGTGTTTTTCTATGGTTATACTAAAACAAAAAATATAAATTTTCGAGTTGTTTATTTATATTTTCAGATCTATAGTGTTTAATGTACGCGGGTTCGAATCCGTGCCGATTAATCTTTAATCGGCACACCCGTGCGATTAATTATTGTTCAATTGGCACGATTTTTAACTTATCAGAATCGAGCTATAGTAATTGACTAAAATATATTATAGATAAATTCTTAGATGGCAAATGCTGAAGTTGTTACAATCTCGTTCCCAAGGTCTTCAACAAAGACCCTGGTATCGACTGATCACGTACCTTGCAATTGTCCAAAATTTAGCGCCCGAGGGGGTGTGAGGAAAGTATCAAATTACAAACAGTTAAAAACATAAATTTTGCGAATTATTAAGTTCAAAATACTTGCTAATTCTTGTTTATTTTATTTCCTTTGAATTTACAAGAACATTCTTACATTTTTACCAACAGTCAAGTCAAGAAACCAAGCAAATCGTTACTCGCAGTGCTCTCTCGTAATGTTATTCAATGTTCTCTTCTGCACACTCGAGCGCGGTTTTATAACAAACGTTTATGGGCTTTTCAGTGGTCATAATTTCTGCATACATGTTTTTAAAATACGCATTAGGTTTATCCTTTCTTGTAAACGTTGATACGCTTCGCACCGATTTACTCGCTACTACGTTAAAAGAAACAGTATATTGTGTTGTCTTGGACTAGAGACCAATATTAGCAAATATAAACATTTGATGGTAACCAAACAGAGAAATGTCTGTCAGTGATTTATCTTTAAAATTTTGGATTTAGTACATAATTCGTATTCGGTCATTATAGTCAGACTTTATCCTTTTTCTTGGTCTCTATATTAATCATAATGTTTTCCTAATATACCATAATCTGTATGACAAATTTACAGTGTCAGATCCACACAGACTGTCATACGAATTAGAGATAAATTTTCGAGTTTCTATTTCTACTAAGAGTTTTCATTGTGAATCATCTGTTTATTTCTAGTTCATTAGTCATGATGCTACTATTAAAGTGTCTATATCATGGTTTTGGAGTTTGCATATCTCAAAAGTTTAGGGTATTTTAAGACACTTTGCAATATATTTTGTTATTCAAAATTTCATCTTGATGGATTTATTAGCTCTTAAAGTTACCGAACATAACGTCAAAAGGAAAATTGCAAATCACTTTACCTTTGTACCATCGCAACAAAATTCTCCTTTTAACGTCATGTCCGGTAACTTTAAGAGCTAATAAATCCATCAAGATGAAATTTTTCAATAACAAAATATCATATGTTGCAAAGTGGCTTAATATTTCGAGATATGCAAACTCCAAAACCATTAGGCACTTAAGTAAAACATGGCTCTCAAATATATTTGTATATTTATTTGATATAGCATCATAGTGATACATGTATTTACCATTGAAATAATAGACATAGAATGCGAGCTCCTATCTTTTCTCAGTAAAATTTGACTCCACAAAATGGCGCATTGAAAAGGGCATTTTGGTTGGTCCCACACTCCTGAGACAGGGAATTTCGCGCGGATGCAGAAAAGTTTGCAAAAAAATTTATATGGGGATTTAAAATGGAAAAAGTTTGGTAAAGAAGAAAAAGTGTCTAAAAACCCATTCCAGAGGGCTTTTTTTACGTAAAGCAATAGTTCCGAACAGAATATATGCAGAAATCGTCGTTTAAAAATAAATTTTCAACGTTATGTTGTTGTGCAAGCCAAAACAAAACACGAAAGATCAAGACAAACTCAATAGGTATGTTCTACAAACATTTCAACTCTTCAGTCTTTTATAATATGATGGAGTTCAATAATCTTTTTAATTAAACTTACACAATTGTAGGATCTAACCCGAAAAGTAGGGCCTAATCGCCTGCGAGCAGGCAGGATATCACGTGATAAAAACACATGTTGGTTTTATATTTTTTGATTGTTTGTTCGGATTACGAAGGGCAAAAGTCAGGTACATTTGCATGTTTTTGGTCCTGTTTTCTATGTATTTGTAAAGTAATTTGTTTCTTGTAGCGTAGTTTATAATGTATTTGTATTGTTTCTATAGAAACCACCTTTAAAGCGATGTTTTGAACGAAAATATATTGATATATGAATTTAATATGGATTCAATTTATATATACGTGGTGCGTTTCGGATAATTCCTTTCAAGAACAACAAAGTTTCTGACTTCTTCGTAAGTTATTGCTATTGTGTGATTATTTGTGTATATTTGTGGCTTAATGAAGCGTGAATTCTTCAAGTAAAGTTTGATTATTGTGAATAAATAGTCTTGCACCGTGATAAAAGGTGTATTTTTGGATCATATGGGGTCTAGAAGGGATAATGATGGACGGTTGAATATGGATGCAGTAAGAGACGAGAGAGAAGATGTTTCAACACAATATACTGCTGAATGGCTCAGCAATGTTCAAATGGCCCCAAAGGCCCACTCTGTTGTTCAAGATATTGATGAACCCCATTCGCCTAGAGTTTCTAGGTCTGCCCCTGCATTAAGTGTCAAGTCAAGGCAAAGTAATGCAGGCATCAGTAGAAGCAAGTTGCAGTTGCAGTTAAGGCAACTGAAAGAAAAACAACAATTAGATAGGGAAGCTCGGCATTTAGAACTAGAAATGCAAAGACAAGAATTAGAACTAGAAAGGAAACGACGATTCGCTGAGATTGCAGAAAGGAAGGAATTGCAAGAAATGGAAGCTAAGTTAGCACATGCTGAGCTCTTGGAACAATTCGAAGTCGATAGTGATGATCAGATCTCCGATGATGGTAACAGAGAACTGAATATGACGAGTCATGACCATGAGGGAAATGGACCTTATGATGATGCGGAACGTCAAGATGCGGAACAACGTGAAACGGAACGTCGAGATGCGGAACGTCGAGATGCGGAACGTCGAGATACGGAGCGTCGAGATGCGGAACGTCGAGATGCGGAACGTCGAGATACGGAGCGTCGAGATGCGGAACAACGTGAAACGGAACGTCGAGATGCGGAACGTCGAGATGCGGAACGCCGAGATGCGGAAAGACGAAATGCGGAGCGAGGAGATGCGGAACGACGAGATGCGGAAAGTCGAGATGCGGAACGTCGAGATGCGGAACGTCGAG